CCCCAAAACCCCAAAACCCCAAAACCCCGTAAGCTAGGATTACAGAATTTCTTAGGAAACTAATATGAAAGTATTAAAAATAATTATCGAATAAAATGCTTATCAACAATTTCGCTAAATACTCAGGCAAAGGCACTCCAATGATTTCTCGGAGAGGCAAGTCTACCATATGCCTCTATGCATGCTTTAAACACGGTCTGACAGATATTGAAATGGCTGCTACTGGTCTGAAGCCATCAATGGACCCTGAGCTGATAGAAAAAATTAAAACAAAGGACAAGTATGCTCACACTTAAGCCAAAGTATTTAGTTAAAATAGCAGTGGGAATAACAGTAAGCTTTAAGAAATCAGAGAACGCATAAGGGGATCATAGTAATATGGTGGGAATGCTAATTCTGTGCTGTAGAGTGGCTATGGAGTGAATACAGAGCAGTTGTTTAAGTCAGTAATGAAGAAGCAAAAAGTCACGCATGAAACAGCTTAGCCCAGTGCAACCGCTACAATTCAACCAGCGGCTACAGCAGCTGCAACTACTGCAGAGAATTTAGAGAAAAGTACTCATGGCTCTCAACCCTAGCATTAAGCTAGTAGTCATTTGGATGATATGGATAACTCCTAGATGAATGGGTATGAGTTCTTGAAAGATCTTTGTCATAATTTGGTTCATGAAAAGAAAAACGACTAGAGACCACTTTCATCTGCATTCAGAGGAATTTCAAGAGATAAAAGTTTAATCTATGTATATCACAACTATTTTTAACTTAATGCTTATAGAATGTGAAAAAAGTAGGACCCCATTGTGGCAGGTACAAGCCTAATTACTCTTTAGTAGAACAGTAAGTTGAGATATTATGTATAATGAAACTGTATAGGAGAATAAGAGTGGCCAATTTTAATCTCAATGTTGCAGAAAATCCCTATCAAAATATATTTAACTCAGGAGCAGTCAAAAGCGAAGAACTAGCAAAGCCGATTTGCGATAAATTCAAACTCAAACAAGACAAACTGAATTAATCTCTTCTTGATAAAGAATAACTTAATAAAAAAGCAAGCGAGATGTAATAGATTATAGACAAGATACTTAAGAAAAATTCTCCGACTGCATCTATGTCAGACAAAAAGAAACTCATTTAATCGCTTGAAAAAATTCCACTGGAAAAGAGAAGAGAAGTTATAATCCAGCTTGCTAAGTAATTACAGCAAAATGAAATTAGCAAGCATGATTCTGAGATATCTTCTAAAAGAAATTCAATAATAGCCAATGAGACATTCATTTAAAATTTTCAGTCTTAAAACGGCAGTCCACTAAAACAGCAATCTCGAATGAATGTGATACTCTAGAACTATAACACCAATTAAAATGATAGATCATCAGGCTCAATTATCTAAAATCAAACCTTGAATTCGTTTCACAAAAGACCTACCACCTAATAGTCTTATTCTTAGATCCTGGAGAATTAGTCTATTAATAATAAATCCAAGAGGCCTGGTACATCATTCGATAATCAATAAATAGCTTTGAAGAGAATTCGATCTACAAAATATTCAGCTGGCTCCATAGGATAAGCAAAAACTCGAGCATCAGCCAATAACTACTCAATGAATATGACTCGAGAATCCTTCTTCGATCATCTCTAGGGTGCTAATGAGAACAGATTTGTGCCCTTCAATAATATGCCATCCAACTGCACTAAGTATAAGTTCAATGATGTGCATAATTTTGATAAGTATATCAGTAGAGATCAAGGAGCTAAGAGTGACAGAGCTGGCAACTCTGGTATCAATCCTTCTAAAAATGCATACCTTTAGGACTATGACTTCAATTTCAATTTCAATAAGCCCAAACTTGACAAAGGAGGTGTAATATCATTTGAAAAACAGATTGAAAGGCCTCCTATTTACATTAAGAAATGCTATGAGGGTGCAGCCAATCAATTCCAACTATTATACAATACTGAGAAAAATTAGAACTAAATAGGCCATAACAAATAGCCTGAAGTTAATGCTGCCTGGGATAAGTAACTGCCGAGAGATAATGCAATCTATAATCTAAGTGAGACTTTAAACCTCAGAGATTAGGATTATGAGAAGAGAGAGGAGTTTAAGAAGCAGATGAAAAGTAAAAAGGCAAGAAGCTAAAGTCATATTGGCGGCAATAGTAATTACAAGAATTAGTATAGCAGTCTTAAGTGAGTTTGCTAGGAATTGATGCTTTAATATGAATGAATGCTTGAATTTTGATAGAAAAGTTTCAATGATTTACATTGTTGAATAACAATTATCGTAAAATATCAGTAATTTTAATTTTATGACTTTAAAATTTCATCGGATTAATTATACAATTAAACAATGGGGTTTTGGGGTTTTGGGGTTTTGGGG